GAGGCCCTACGAGACCGCTCTCATTTTCAGGGATCAAATCAACATGAAGGCGGTCCAAGAAGATGAGGAGCTTCTGTGTATTGTATGGGCCAAGACTGGGGATGTGAGTGGCCACACCATTCTCCGATATGGCAGCACACATAGTTATATTGCCCCCTCGCTGGCCTGGGACATCCACCATGGCCCGGTGGCCAATAATATTACGGCCACGTCTTCGGCCCTTGGCCAGGTTGAAGCCAGCTTCATCCACAAACACGAGGATGTGATGGGTCTCGTTTCCTTCCAATGCCATTATTCTCTACAATAGCGTAAAAAAAGAAAACATCAAATCAGTCATACAGAAGAGTCATACACTACAGTTACAGACAATTACATAGGAATGTTCTATGTTCTCCACAAGTTCAATATACTACTGGCCACTACTCCAGTGGTTCCAAACCTGGGGTACATGTACCCCTATGCAGAGGTACTACAGGGGGTATTTGACAGAAAGGGGAGGGGGGAAATCATCAATGACTAGACTTACTGAAATGTTACAGTAAAACCCACAGTATTAGATAGATTTACATGGGAGGCACTAATTGCAGCTCTTTGACCCCTTTTCTTATTGTATGTTATATTCTTCAAAATAAGGATTATAATGATAATTGCATCATACAGTAAGCTGCAGTTTTTAGGCGAAATGTTGAAGTCAGATAAATCAAATACTTCCATACCTGGATTACCTGGATACACAAATCAGGTAAAGTGGGTACTGAAGCCAAAAAAGTTTGGGAACCACTGCTTAATTGTAAAAATGTTATAATGATGGACAACCAGTAACTGACTTACATGTACATACTGGTACCGCAGCTCTTTCACTCTATCAGAGTTCCTCTCAAATGGTACCCTGTAAATTTGCTTCATTGTCATCTGATGCTTCTTCAATATCCGGTCTATTGTGGAGATGCTTATAGAGTTGACATTTTGGAATATGGCATTGTCTTGTAGGATTGCAGCGCAGATCTGTCTCAATGTGATGGCATTATTTGCCATCACCATGTTACAGATCTCTTGTTCTTGTTGTTCATTGAGAAGTTTTCCTCTGCCACCTGTGCAAGGTTGTCGTCCAATCCTAGATATAGAAGTCAAAGGACAACACTCCATTCGTAATGTATACCTTATGTATTCCTTACAGAATGAGTTACCTATGTAATTGTATTGTTGTTATACTTACAGTAACTTTACCACAATTCTAATGCATCACTGCACAGTGACTGGAATACTACTGTAAACTGTATCATCAATACTGTAGAAAATAAACTATTCCATAGTTTATTTTCTCCAATGTTTTTCTTGTCATTTTTAGTATCATAACATCCCATTGAGGTAAGATATTACTGTAGGCCTATCACACACACACACTAAATGAATAGGTAAATATGTAAATAAATATATTTCTTGCTCTATGCACAGTGTCCTGTCCTATACAACATATAATTCCATCATTGACTGACTACATACCTGTTTTCCCTGCGAAAGGTTTGGATGATGGAGGAGACTGTTGAGCGAGGCACATTAGGCTGCACTCGGCGACCTGCCTCCGCCATTGTGAGGCCATGGTTGATGACATGGTCTATAATTGTGGCCCGAATTTCATCCGGGACAGCATGGTGTCTTCGTGCTCCTCGGCCTCTTCCCCCTATTCCACCACCACGCACCCTTACTCCTCCTCCTCCTCTTCTTCTTCCTCTTCCTCGAGCAGGCAGTTGCCCTTGTTCATTTACTTGGCCAGGTGCCTCCATGTTCAGAAATTGTACTGGTCCTGCATGGTCAAGCTCTTTACATACATGTTTGGCAGCATTCACAGTCATGGACAGCACCTGTCAGGTAACTAAACATACTGTTTGATTGGTCATCTGAGATGTGTGAAACTCCTCCTTCGTTAGTCAAGTTCTAGTTTCACCTGACTGTCAATTGCTGTAATAAATTTATCAAATGTTCCAAGGGATTCATATATGGTATTCATGGTATTATGTTCTTGACTAATTTTGACAATTGAACAGACTATTGTGCATGTGATGACTTATACAATGAAATGACGCTGACACGTTTTGGAGCGAACAACCATTAGACTGAGAATCAACAATCAGTTTAGATCAACAAGATCTATTCACTTGGAAATTGTGCTAAATGTAGGCTACCTGTACTTAATCATTTGCAAAGATGTACTGAGACATTGAGACATGTACTTAGACATTTGCAATTTGATGAAATGAATGAGAAATTCAATTCTGTTGTGAACAATTGCCAAGTGGTTTGGAGGTTTGTCCATGTAGTTTTGAGAATGTAATTTCTGTTTCAAGAAATTAGCCAAACCAATGGAGAAAAACTGTAAATCAGCCATGAATCCTCTTGTGAAAGGGGGAATGGAAGCTTGTTGTGTGCAAGAGGGAGGGGCAATTGAATGCAAGATTCACACAAGAAAATGAAATTGTTAAAACGTTTCTAGCCTGACTATCTATGGGTTAAAGGGTTGACATGTTCTCAACCCACTCAGTTTTACTGAGTGGTCCTCTGTAGCTCAGCTGGTAGAGCACGGCGCTTGTAATGCCAAGGTAGTGGGTTCGGGACCACCCATACACAAAAAAAAACAAAACATGTATGCACGCATGACTGTAAGTCGCTTTGGATAAAAGCGTCTGCTAAATGGCATATTATATTATATATTTTACACCACAAAACACCAGAAAATTGCCAAAAAGAGTAGGACCAGCCCACCTGCTTTTACACTATTATTTGATTATTAGATGTTAAATGCTTATTTTGAAAAAAATATTTAAAAAGGAATAGTTTCACCATATTAAAACGAGAGTTCAGTTCACATAACAGGGTTGACCTTAAAATGAGGGACATTTTTATTTTATTTTTACCTTAAAATGAATCACTAACCACATTATTATTTATTTAATCTTTAGGAATGAATTTATCAAAGCAACAAAATAACTAGGGCTTTACAATGATGGTGAAAACTTGGAGAAATGTTGAGGTTAAGTGTGTTAAAATCTTCCTGGAAGTCACAGAGGGACAGGTCAAAATCCTGAATTTGGCACTTTAGCAAGTCTATATTCATATAAAAAATCTGATTGATCGAATTCTCCATGTGGTCTATATTAAAGGGCACTTCATTGAATATAACAGCCTTTTAAAATTCAATATTGGTGCACAATTTCTACTTAAAATATCAAAGGGATGCTAAATAAACTCATTTCGTTGAATGACACTAATACATTTCTACTGTGATTTGCATGATAATGTTGGTATGCCCTTTAAAGAATGTCATTGCTCGCTGAAAAAAAACGTTCAATCACTTTCGACAAACCACATTACCAGTAGCCCTATAAATAGTACGGCAAAATTCATGATATTGATAAAAGGCCTAAACATTTTAAAAAAACAATATTCAAATGTAATTATTTGTTATTCATCGAATTGGCTACTATTATAGGGTTAGGCCTTCATCACAACTTCTGGTTAAAATAGGCCTACTGAGTACCAGTCAAAAGTTTGGACACACCTCTCATTCAGGGTTTTCTTTATTGTTACTATTGTTTTAAATTGTTAGAATAATAGTGTGCCGAATCAAAACTATGAATAACACAATGGAATCATGTAGCTAACCAAAAAAGGTTAAAAAATATGTATATTTGAGATTCTTCAAATAGCCACCCTTTGCTTTGATGTGACAGATTTGCACCACTATTGGCATTTCTCTCACCAGCTTCACATGGAATGCTTGTCCAACAGTCTTTGAAGGAGTTTCCCAACATATGCTGAGTAAAAAATTAAGAAAACCTCTTCAATGAGTAGGTGTGTCCAAACATTTGACTGGTAGTGTACATTTATGCATTTGTATTTAAATACTTATTTTCTTTGTCTTTGAGTATTTAAAAATAATGTGGCCGAATCCAACAACTTATAGGTATTTGAAAGTATAAACAAAGAAAAAAATCCTGGAAATAGACCTATTTGAAACTATTTACATTGAGTTGTACAAATGGGCCTAGACTCGGCTACTTGTTTCCAATTATTTTATTGTTTACCTAGAACCAAACAGACCTGTGTACAAATGCATAGTAATGATTTGAACCCAGGTCTGCATCACATCATTTTGTAAAACTATTTAACTCTATACTCAATGCAACATCTTGCAAATGCACAGAAAGGGTATCATTTTGGAAACGATAGCACGAGCACTTGTTGCTAAGTCATCTTTGATTGACAATTTCTATGACAACAAGGACGCTCCCGTTTTCTGTTTACGGAAAAAGGATGTGACGTAAGACGCAGTCTGTGAAGCAGAAGTTTGAACCGTTTGGTTCTGCAAAAGCTGGTAATAACAAGCTAATAACTCAACTTTTCCCAGTATTATCGCATAATGTTAGTTTGAAGTGTAATATATCGTAATTCTCTAACTAGCGACTAAAATTTATACAAATTAGCAGTGAATGCTAAGCGCGCGGCCAGTTTTTGTCGTTTTGAAGTGCTGCTGACTGTAACAGTACAGAACTGATGCTAGCCAGATTGCTAGCTAACAAAGAATTTGCAGTTCTTGTCTAGCTAGCTGTATCGATAGCTGCACATTTATTGACAAACTAGCTATATCATATTCAGTTGTGAGAGCTAGCTAGTAGGATAGATATGCCGTCCTCACTTTCTCTTTGCAAGTCATAGGGTCTAGCGACGGTTCAGTTGCCTAGATGCAGTTATTAGCCAGCTGAGCTGGTGGCTCACTGAGTCTGTGTAGCTAACTCTTCCAAAGTTAGTTATATGCAGGGTTGCCGATTTGATGACAGTAACAGCAAAGAGTTGCCAAATTTGTATTGAAACCTCTATTTTGATAACTTTCTGCGCATGGTTTTTGTGATGCACATGCGCATAACGTTATATGGATATTTCGAAAACGTAACCAGTCGAAAGTAACACTTAAAATGTGTGTTTTTCACAATGTGCAGGACATTATGAACAAACAACAGGAGACGTGGGAGAAACTGGACTCAGAGTTTGACCATCACCTGGTTGACATGAAACCATATGTCCTAAAACTCCACCACAAGACAGGTCTACAGTAAAATGAGTTGTATAACTAAAAAGCAAGTGTTCTATAAATTGTAATTGTCTTATGTGTTAATAGTAAGTAATGCATTGATTGTAATTTCTTGCTCCCTATTTGACCTCAGAGCGCCAGCGATGTGCCCTGTGGATCAAGAAGCTGTGTGACCCAGCTGTATCCGGCTCGGGCCTGATGGGACGCAAGAACCGCAACATGTACTCCCGCCTTCTCCTGCACATGCTCAGAAGAGGGGTCCTGGAGGGCCCTTCAGCCAAAAGCCGATGCATCTCAGGACTCTCCCAACATTATGGTAAACAAAAAATCCTATAAGACAAAAGAGAAATGATGATGTAAGCTCTATAAATTCCAAAATATCTTTTCTCCTCTGTACTGCTAGTGGGGCTGCCCATGCTGTCAGGTTTTCGCCTTTCTAGGGAGTTTTTCCACCCCTGCTTCTAAAAACCCCTGCTTACTAGCTGTTTGGGGGTTTTGGGGCTGGTTTCTTACAGCACTTCGAGATATTTGCGATGTAAAAGGGGCTTTAAAAAAATTGATTATTGATTGATTGATTTTTTTTGTTTAATTCATGTACCTTTTATAGTACTTTGTGGGCCCTGTATTTTATATTTTTTTTTTTTTTTTTTTTGATGGCAAAACTCAGCTCTCCCCAAACCTTTTCTCATTGCCAGTCCATCTACTTTGATACCTCTATTGGCCGGGGGCCTGGAGCAGAGACGCATCCTGCCTGACGGGGAACAGGAGAGCTGGGCCAGGGTGACGACTCCTGGGAAAGCCTGCTCAGAGAGCGGGCCAGCTCCTCACCCACAGCCTACTCTAACACACACAGGTAGGTTATTCCCCTGCATAAACTAGCGCTTAAGCTACATACTCAACTGGTATGCATGCTAGCTACAGTAGAAGTCTGCTGAATTCAAACACACACACACAGGTGTTTAATCTGGAATAGACCACCTCACCCTCTGGGCAAAAGTGGTTGAGTCAACGTAGTTTCCTAGTTATTTACTCTTACTTAAAAACCTCTTCGATGTAAAGTCCCCTAAACCTGCGTGGTTCTGCATTTACTTTTTCGCCAACCTAAATATGCTGGACTGCCCTCGAATTCTGAAACATTGTCTATGCTACTCAACATGTTTTTTTATTTGTTTTTTATTTTATTTTTTATATAATATGCTACTTACAGTAGTTGTATACATACTTCAATGTAAAATATCAACTGTCTGTTCACCTGTTAAATCTGACTGTATGTTATAAACCACATTGCACTGAGCGATAGCCCTTGTTCCCAGGGGCACAGTAGTATATTTTCTGAGCCTGTGTGACGTAGGATGTGAAATCTGAAACCACTTGAAGCTGGGATGGCCCTCCTGCCATTTTATTAGCTCTTCCAACTGTCCATCAACTCCTGGCTGAACCCTAAGTCACAGCCAATGACAAAGCACATGCCTGCAATCCTTACATCGTAGCGCTGTAGGAGAGATCGTTTCGATAGCCATTCATCTAAAATAATTAATAGATTTTAAACAAAATACACTTCCTGTTTGTCAAAGAGGGACAAGATTAATGTGAAATGAAAGGTGAGTTCCTAATGAGTTCAGGAAGCCAAGCTAAAGCTCTGAGACATTCACAGCGATGGGGGCAGACGTTTTGCTTAAGAGAGACCTTTAGGAAATATACATATTTTCTCTAACACTAAACATACAAATATGTATTTTACAGTTATAAGGAAGGTGAAATCTTATATTTAGTCTATATTAAGCATATGTCATTTCAAGCCTTATTCATACAGTTTTGTTGAATAGGAAATACATCATATAACATATTTCATATTTTTTATCATATTTGTACTGTGTACTTGAGCTTGTGTCCTCAAAAGTGACTACACCTCAGCAATTTATAGCTTTTTACCAGAAAGGTGAGATTTTAACCTTTCTTGGAGTATGCAGCATTACTAGTTATTGTGTATGGCCCTCATGATAAATAATTACTTTTGGGGATTACGTTGATTACATTTAGTTACATTTAACTGTTTTTTAATTAATGTAATCACGTTGTGTTGACGTAGCTATTTCGTTGAATTTGCACAAAACATCATCAATATGGTTGTGCACTTTTTGCGAAATCTGTATTGTTTTCAGAAGCTTGATCTCATGACAGTGCAATCAGATATGGACAGTGGACACTTGCTTTTTTGTATAGGCTACTGTATGGTCCCTAGGCTCCCTGTTTCTAGGTTCTTAAGTAGTCTGGAAACATTGAACCCTCTCAGTCAGTCTACCAGTAAAACGGCTCTAGTAACTTGCTTATCAACAAGCGTTAATGTCGAGCCATGTACATAGCCTATCTATTTACTAGGCTACTACCCACTGTGCAAAAACATTGTTTCCATGTAATTTCAACAAAATAATTTCAATGTGATGACGTTGAATCAATGTTGAAAACTGATTGGATTTGCAAAAAGTCGTCAACGTAAGGGAATTTAGTCTTCTTTTCACCCAACTTTTAGCCTAAATCCAATGACATGGTTACATTTTTGGTTGATTTCAAGTTGAATTCACGTTAGTTGACAACTCAACCAAATGTAAATCAAAACTAGACGTTGAAATGATGTTTGTGCCCAGTGGGAAGGGGGAGACCTTTAATGCTTTGTTGAATCTACTTTTTAAAAATCTGGGCCAAGGTTGATGTAGGGACAGTGGTGACTGGTTCTTGGAAAATATTATTAAGGATGTGTTGAACGGGACGACTAGTTGCTTGCACTGGAAAATTCAGTGGCATCTTGAGCCAAAGAACCATTCAGCTCAGTTAGATTGATTGTGGTTCTGTTTGTGTCCCTATGTGTATAGTCACTTTAAAGATACACATAAGTTTGATTTTGAAAAGCCGTTGGCATGACGTATGAGATGTCCTCGTTACAAATCCGACCAGTTACACAAGCATGCCTAACGGTAACCTCAATTAGCCTAAGTACACTGGCTGTATTGAAGAGCTGGATTTTTTTGTCTGACTAGTGTCTGATTGGGATAAGAGCATTTAAAGAGCGTATAGATCAGGCTAAGGCCTGATGGAGAAAATGACTTAGTACCCCAGGCTCTTTAATGTGACTCTCCCATTTAGATTAGACTCTAGGGACCTAATTTGACTCTTTGCGATGTTTGATCTTTCGATCTCTGCCTCATGCCATTAATCAGGTGATGGGGTGTTTTTTTAACTCTCAAAACAGCCGTAATTCATGTCCTAACACCTGATAAGTGAAGTAGTCATTTAACTTTGGGGTGCTTGCAGGTTAGGCTTTATCAGAAATCCTGTTCTATATCGGCAATCCTGTTCTATATCGGCAATCCTGTTCTATAGCAGCAATCCTGTTCTATATCGGCAATCCTGTTCTATATCGGCAATCCTGTTCTATATCGGCAATCCTGTTCTATAGCAGCAATCCTGTTCTATAGCAGCAATCCTGTTCTATATCGGCAATCCTGTTCTATATCGGCAATCCTGTTCTATATCGGCAATCCTGTTCTATATCGGCAATCCTGTTCTATATTGGCAATCCTGTTCTATATCGGCAATCCTGTTCTATATCGGCAATCCTGTTCTACACTGAGTATACCAAACATTAGGAACACCTTCTTAAAATCTCGGAAGTATCGTGATGTTGGACATCTGGGTTTAGAAACTCTGTGTTAAACTGGCTAGGAGAGAGACACTATATTTGACTGGAGTGAGTAAGTTCCAGATTTGGCCACAGGATGGCGATACTCACCTGCAGAACCCTGATGGTTCTGTACCTCTGTTCTCAACTGATAAAGTCTAGTTGTTTCTGTGTGAAAGGAATGGGGATAGCAAGCTGATCCAGGTTAAGAGATCATCCTCAGAGGCTCTGGTGTGTAGCCTACGTGCCAACTCCTGGTACTCACATGTCACTTATGGATCAGGCCTTAAACATGCCATGACTGTCTTGACACATTGTTTGTTGTCTGTGGCGTGCCTTGGAGAGCTCTGAGAGAAGGGGGAGAGAGGCGAAGTGTGTGTATGTGTTGGGGGAGCTGAATCTTGAAACAAATCTCATGTTGACTCGGCATGTGTGGAAGTGTTGCGTTCGTTACTAAAGATGAGGGGAATTTCTGGTCTTTCGCCCCTCATAGCAAACAGGCAAAGGTGGAAGGATGAATGTGTGGTGGTGGTTAGCAGCATATTTATTAACCCCTATATGTTTCTTATGTGAATCCCTTCCGTTGCTCTCTCTCTCTCCTCTCTTTTGTTTTTTCTGCTTTCTGTTTTACTCACTCTGACTTCTGTCTATCATCTGAGTTCCACACATGAGAACCCTTAACCTCTCCCTCTCCCTCGCCAAGTGTGACAGTAACATTGTCCTTGCAGCAGCAGACATCAAACAGCCTTCATGAACGACCTGTTTAGCCGCCTCAGGTGTTTCCCTCCAAGGCAAGAGTCTCTCCGTTGACCTTGCCTCCAGGTGGTTGAGTTAAGGGGTCCACGTCTTGTTTGTGCCCCAGGGTCGGTCTACCTTCCTTGGGGTGCCTGAGGGTGAGACCTGGGGCCTCTGGCCCCTGCACCTGGAGGTCATGGATGAAGCGTATAGATGTCAGGCTTTTTTAATAAGACTGGCTGCAGCAGCAGAGACACACACTTCCCCTCTCTCTCCCCTAGCCCCGACCTGCCTGGCTGGCACAGCTTTGATCTCTGGGCCTCAGACTCCAGGCACATCTGATTCAATTATCCTCATCCACCTGTTGACTTTGAGGCCCGACATTGCATTGCTCGCTTGGCCCCCGGTCTGCCTTTCACGGCTCTGTGTGTGTGTGCATACTTGAGGGGAAGAAAGAGTGCCTGTTAGTTTTCACGTAGGCTGCTTTAACAGCTGGTAGGGAGACACACAAAGGATACAAAATATGCTTTCATGATGATAAGTTTGACCTCAACCGACACTGTAATTGAGAACATACCAGTTTTGTATCCTTCAGTCTCGCTCACTTTATAACAGAATGTAGATGCATAGAGAGCTCCCCCTCCTGGCTCTGATGCTGAATTTCACTGGTCCACCTTCTCTATCTCCCTCTTATGCCCCATACAGGTCAAAAATGCGTGCTGTTGGGGGGTACTGGAGGACTGGAGTTGGGAAACACTGTTACACTGCCCTCAGTGCCCTGATTCTGTCAGAGTCAGCAAAGGTTCCCATTGTTGTCCTCTCTCTCTCACTGGCTGCTGGGGTGTATAGAAATGTAATGAATAGGACTGGGACTTGCCAGGGACCTCACAATACAATATCACGATACTTAGGTGCTGATACGATATGTATTGCGATTCTCACGATTCTATGTATTGCGATTCGATGTTCCAAACATATTGCTCACCTTGTCTGCTGCAGGGGAACAAGAGAGAGCCATGTAAAAGCGAGTGTTGATCAGTCATGGAAATAAAAGTGCTGAAAATGTTGGCTCACCATTTAAATAATAAGATTGATAGCAAGCTAGAGAATAAATACCAGTTTTGGCACAGGTACAGCTGACTAGAGCTAGCCAAAGTTAACTACCTAGAAATAATATTGTCAAAAAATTATATTGCGATACTCTAATGTATTGATTCCCCCCCGCCATTACTAGTAATGACTAGACTTCGTTTGTCTTGTACAATAAAAAAGGGAATGGTGTCAGTCATCTGTACAATACATTTCTATTTGAACTTTCTGTAACGTTTTATCCTCTTGAACAGGCAACACACACACACTGTTGGGTGAAATGGTTCATGTGGATGTTTTTGATAGAACATTTTAGTCATTTAGCATACACTTATATAGAGTGATTTACAGTTCATTCATCTTAAGATAGCTAGGTGAGACAACCACATCTCAGTCATAGTAAGTACATTTTTCCTCAATAAAGTAGCTATCTGCAAAGCCAGTGCTAGTAGGAAAAAGTCAAGTGCGAGAGGCAAGGGTGTTAGTTTGTTGAAGAGAGTAAAACGTTGAGCTAAAAGCATAGCTGCATCAGAAATGAGCCAAGTACAGATGTAGGATCTTAATTTGATCACTCTTTTGTTGCTCAGAATTTTACTGCACCGCAGGAAATAGCCTAACCAGCTAATATCCTAACCACCGATCAAGCAACATTATGGACTAAACGTTCAAATCATGTTGCTGCAGTATTATTTTGCTGCGACAATACAGGTCAAAGTATAAAGATCCTACATCTGTACAGCATGACTCACATTTGATGAGTTACACATTATATTGATAGACATAATGTAAGCCAGTGATTGAGTGAAGCTATTGCCTGTAATATAACCAGTGATACATGGACACTCAGATCTTTGCATTTAGTTGTTCTCTTCAATCTTTCCTAATGTAAATCTCTCTCTCATCTATCTCTTTGTTTCTCCCTCCCTCTTTCTATATATCTCCCTCTCCCTCCCTCTCTTTCTCACGTTCTCTTTTATCTCTTTCTCCCTCCCTCTCTCTCCAGGAGAAGACGGCTATATGAGGAGAAGTCTCCATCTCGGCCCCTGGCCTCCAGCCCAGTCAAACGCTCTTCCGAAGACCACAACAAAGGGGTCAGCAGCACTCTATAACCCTCTGTCTCTTCTTGTCACTATTTGGCAACTCATTTACATTTAGTCTATTTTATCTTAGTTAGGGAGTTTGTAATTACAGAGTCTTACATTTCAGGCAGGACATATTCTATTCTGTAATGACATTCTCCATCATATCTGTCAGGCGTGCGGTAGGTGTATAGTGGAATCAAACGCAGGACTCAGAACGATATTCCCAAAGGCTTGTATTAGGCCAAACCAAGGCAAAAGGAAACTTTGCCCGGAGGCAACAATTACGCACGAAGGCGAAAAGAAACTGCGCACAAACAGGTGCGACAAAATAGTAACCGCGCACAAAACAGGTGCGACCAATAGTACCACGCACCAACAGGTGCGGAAAATCCTCCAGTATAATGGAGAGAAGCTCAACCGAGCAATACACACAACTGACGGAAAATCAATTACACACAACACTAGACAAACACAACGAGAAACTTATAGGACACTAATTACGCCAAAACAGAAACAGTGTGAAAAACAAACAACCAAAGCAAAAAAGAACAGAAACAACAGCGTGGCGCTAGAATTCCGGAGACGAAACCCGAAACCCCCCAAAAAGGGAGAGGGCACCTCGGCCCAAACCGGACAGTAACCCCCCCCCCCCGGGGGGGCCCCCCCCCCGGGGCTCCAGGGCCCGGGGGGGCCCGGGCCCCTGGCCTTTGGGACGGGAAAAACC